CGTCATGGTATTTCCTGAAGACGACGGATTATTGAAAAAACTGACGTAGTATATAGTTTCAAACATCGGTAAAAAAAAATACCATCGTTGTGTGAGCATTCTAACGTCGATACGAAACAAAATCCTCGTATAATCAAAAGTTGTGTGTAAATGAAAGTTGTAAAACATAAAAAATCAAAAACCCTAAATAAAAAAACTACACCGTCGTGGTATTTCAATGAAGACGATGGATTCTAGAAAATACTGGCGTAGTACGTCATTTCAAACGGCGGTAAATAATTACCGTCGTTATGAATGAATTCTAACGTCGATAGGTGAAAAAACCGTCGTATAATTCAAATGCAGAGATAAAAAAAACTTCACAAAAATAGTGTAAAAACCAATTGCAGAGAGAGAGAGAGAGAGAGAGAGAGAGAGAGTGTGTGTGTGTGTGTGTGTGTGTGCACGTGAGTAAATGAAGATAGTTGTAAAACCTTAAAAATAAGACGTCTAACTTAGAAATATAATATGTCATGGTAATTCAATCCAGATGTCTATTTCTTGAAAAAACTGACATCCTATACATTTTGAAATGGCGGTAAATAAAAACCGTCGTGGTGTTTCATTTCTAATGACGGTAATTAAAACAAACGACATCTATACGTAATTAAAAATCTCTATTTTAAAATTTTAGAATAGAGTGAGTGAGACTTACGATTAATTTTGCCTTCTTTGCAACCTTTGGATCAGGGATGTTTCCCTGTTTATCTTCTCTTGCTTTCTTCAATAATAGAGAACGATCAATTTCTTTACCGGGCATGGTTTCTTCTAATTCATCCTCGAAACCAACATACCCTTTTCGAGACAACCTATGGTTGTACTCCCATTTATCCCTTCTCTGTGCCTGCTCAGAATGCATAGCCTCAATTTATGGGGATAACCTTGAAGCTACAAAGGCATCCCATTGCAATTTCTCTATGAATTTATATAGCTGAAGGGGGTTCTTTTAACTTCTCCTTGTCATTTGTGAATGGAAGGATAAACTGCCTCGTTAAGGTAGACTTGAAATCCTTCCATTTTTTGGCTGCAGACGATAACACCATCTTCTTACCCCCTTGCCCAACAACATAAGCCATTTCAACTGCTTCCCAAATCTGCTCCTTCAGGTCCTTGGGCAATTGAGTCCATTTCTTGTCTACAAGAGGGACTCTGGTGCGTGCCAAAACACCAATGTAAGATTGCATCTCTACAGCAGCCTTGCCATGTGGTCTGCCCTTTTTATTGTACTCAACTACGGGTTTAATCTTTTGGATTTTCCTCTTCACAACACGACTCATTGTGTTGATACCGCAACTCAATTTTGGCTTCACATCAAATGTCGCAGAGCTAGGGTCTTTCTCGGAGTTTCAAGTAAATCTCATCTTCTTCTCGGGATTGCTTTAAACTGATTTGGCTTCATTCATTTGAGCCTTTGAAACTGAAACGTTCTTGCTTTGACCTTTTGATCCTTGAGCCTCCTTACTTTGAGATTTTGAAACCATGTTTAGAGAGAAATAAAACCTGCAAGTGAAAAATGACGGTTAATTAAAAAGAACGACGTAATATTCAACATAAGACATCGGTAGAAAAACACAACCGTCGTTCTATTTCTTTTAGAACGATGATTGTAAACCACCGACGTGGTACGAATAATAAAACGAACTCAACAGGAAAAAAACCATAGTCTTATTAAGAGGGGATACAGATAAAAACCGCTCAGATTTCTCTCTCCCACGATCGTTTTGTATTACAATAAGACAACTGTTTTATCTTCTTTACATCGTATTAAATTTCACACCACGACAGTGATTAACTACCGTTGTTCTATTTGCAAGAGCACAAATTTAATTACTGTCGTGGTGTGTTAATTAAAACGTTGTAAAAAAGACAAAATCGTCGTCTTATTAAGAGGGGATACAGAAAAAACCCGCTCAAATCTCTCTCTCCCACGAACGTTTTATATTAAAATAAGACGACGGTTTTATCTTCTTTACGTCGTATTAAATGTTACACCACGATGGTTATTAACTATCGTTGTTCTATTTGCAATTGCACGGATTTAATTACCGTCGTGGTGTGTTAATTAAAATAGCGTAAACAAGACAAAACCGTCGTCTTCACACTACGTGAGAGTGAGGGACTAGTGAATTTATTCAAACCATTGAAGGATTTCGTCATTTTGAAAATGGAGTGAGAAAAAAAAAAACCATTGAAGGATTTCGTCTTTCTTTATAAAAAAAAACTTCAAATGATTTTGAAAAAAAAAAAAGAGTGAGAAAAAACATTTGGCATGCAAAGAAAGTTTTCTTCTGACGTCAACTTTGGAGATTTGGAGACTAAGACGATGAAGATGACAAGATTCAGACATGCTACTTTTGGGAACTAAGAGGAAAACTGAGAGGAAACTGAAATATTTTATTGGAGAGTGAACGTAAAACTTTATATCAGGTGACGAAAAAGTTTATATCTTATCCCAATGTTCAATAACATGACAGTTTTGTTAAAAACCGCCCTAGTATGTGGTTAAAACGACGAAAACAAAGTAGAAACCGATGTGGTTAATAATAAAGCCAAATGACTTTTGAAATTCTGAAACCGACATGGTTATGTACAGTTTTACACGACAAAAGTTTACTTTTGATGACGTGATATTATAAGTTAATACGTTGCTTGTTTATAGAGAACCGACATGGTTGGTACAAAGTCAACGACTTTTAGTTTTACGGGACCGACGTGGTTATTTTATTTACACGACAAGACTTTACTTGTATTGACGTGGTATATAATTTAATACGGTGCTATTTACGATAAAACCGATGTGGTTATTCTGAATAACCTCGCGCTCTTTATGAATAAACCCCTTAATGTAAAAAAATAGACGGCGGTATATTTTAATTAACAACACTATAACTAAAGAAATCGACGTGGTTAGTAGAAACACCATATTCTAAAACGACGGTAGGATATTAGTAACCGTCGTGGATTTTTGATATTAGATGCCGCAAATTATAAAAGGACCGCCGTGGTTAGTAAAGATTATTTGTATAAATTGGGTCTTTTCACGCGTTCTTTAGCTTTCAGTTTTCACTTAGGGTTCCAACTTGAAATAAAGTCGCATTCTTCTGGAGCTTGGTGGCCAAATTTTCAGTTCAGACCTTGGCTCTCTCTCACCTCTCTGGAGGCAATAATTTGGATGTTAACGATGTATGTGTTTTGGTGTATCTCGAAGACACCAAAACACACACATCGTTAACTTTCAAAAAATTGTCTTTCTCAAATTTTCTTTCTCAAAAAATTGTCTTTCTCAAAGCTTGTCGTAGTTAGTTCAATTTGGGTTTGGTTCAGAGGCAAATTTTTTGGATTTTGATGCACATGTGCCTTTGTGTATCTCAAAGACACAAAGACACATACGTCATCAATGTCTAAAATATTGTATTTCTCACATTGGTGGTTCGATTATGATGAGGAACATAGCTCACACTGGTACGATTTCATATCTCTTGGGATCTCATTTTAATTTATCTGGGACGACGGTTTTCTATATAAACCGTCGTGGTTTTTCACAATTCTTGTCATTTTGTTGATCTACTGTCGTAGGCTACCAAAATCGAAGAAATAAATCTTAAAAGAAATAAAAATTAACACGACGGTTTACAGATAAGGGCAGTTGTATAAAATGAATTAATACGACTCTACTTTTCACTTAACGACGTTGTAAATTGTATTATACGACGCTCATTGAAGAAAACCGACGTGGTTCTTATTAACTTATATGAACCATCATCGTGTACTAACTTCATACGTCTTGATGTAGTGAAAATACAACGTGGATATTATTGAATTTAGACGTCGTTATCTACTCTTCTGGTGTCGTGGTTCTCTACTACTTTATTCGACAGTAGTGTTATAGATACCGTCGTAGTACCTTCTCAAATAATACATCGATAAGTTTATCTTTATCGTCATGGTACATGGCTTTAATACGTCGCTGTTTTGTAATATCGATGTGGATTCCATTAAAATTATACGATGTTGATTGAGAATAGTTGATCGTGTTTATATAGGAATTAACACAACAGCTGTTTTGTTAAATCGTCGTCTTTAATTTCTATGTCGGTGGCTTCGTACCTGCTATCGTTGTTTTTGGGGTCAGAGTTTAAGTCTGAAGAAAACCTATTTAATAAGACGACACTTTTTAATTTGGGTGCATCATGTTTTAAAAATACTCAAGCGAATCTCGATTTTATCGTAAATACAGAGGTGCAATAATAGTTGAGCAACAATTGTTCAATGATGATCGTCTGAACCTCCTTTACCAATCCAACTTTATCAAGATTTATTCAGAAACTACATCCAAGAGACCAGATGACACATGAATTCAGGAAAAGCACAACAGGTGCAAAAGTTTTTGATGAAATCTATAACCAGATAGCAGAACTAATTGAAGCAGAAGACAACGACAACGCATACTGGAATAGCTTAGGAGAAGAAGAGCTACACAATATTGATAACATGTTGGAAGCATAAACTCCATGTGAAGCCCTTATGAAAGAAGAAACATCATCTTCATCTCTCGTGAAGAGATCATCTCAAGCAAAAGATGCAGCATCAATCCAAAGTATGAGAATCCGAACTCTTTGGCTCCATACGGCATAATAAGAAAAGAAGAAATAGAAAGACTCCTTAGGCAATAGGGGTGGGTACGATCCGGTTTGGACCGATTTTCATAAAAAAAAATGGAACCTGAACTGAAAATGTAGATCGGTTCAATTTGGACCGATTTTGCTTGAAATCCACATAGAAATCCAAACCAACCCGAACCTGTCCTATTTCGATTCGGTTCCTGAGGTTCCAATTTGGGATTTTTTTTGATTTTTTTACAGACCTGCCAAAAATGTATTTATATACTAACATACCCCAAATTTGAGGTTCCATCAAGTTTTCAACACATCAAAATGAATCCAACTTCAACAAAAATACAATTCAAATTCAATCCAACTTCAACATATAAATTACAACCCAAATTCAATTAAACTTCAACAAAATAAGTTCCAAAATAAATCACAAGCCAAATACAACCCAAATTCAATCCAAATATATATTACAACCCAAATTCAATCCAACTTCATTAAATTCCTCCTAACATTGAAGAGTAGCTGGAGCTGTGGTGCTAGGTGTAGATGAACTCATAATATCTACATAAAAAAACATAAACTCATTAAAACATTAGTCAAACATACATATTATATTAAAAAAACAGAAACTTAAATATTATACAATCGAACTAAACAAAACAAAACACTTATTTTTTAAAAATTAATCATATTTCCCAATTAAACATCATGCATTAATCAATTGTATTAATCATATTTCCCAATTAAAAAAATAACTACGTACATCATATCATATATTTAATTTCATTTCCCAAAACTTGTCAAATAAACTATGCGCATCAGTCATCAGAAAGACCAAAAAAATAAGAAAACAAATGTAAATTCCCTTCTCTCCAAAACCTATTTCCTATATACTTAGCTTTCTTGCTCTAACAATTTCTCGAAGTCTCCAGCTTCTAACAGATCCCCAAAAACAATAGAAGTTGGTCACCCAATAACCAGTATGTCAATTGCTAAAGCAAGTTGTGTCACAATTTTTTTGATAAGCTGCCACTACAGCAAGCAAGTGGTGGCAATCAAGCATGATATTTCAAACCCAAGAACAACGAAAATGTATCTATCCCAACGAATTTGCAGAGAGGAGGGGAAAATAAAATTAAAGAAAACCCAAGAACACAATCGCTATGATCTCAACTCTCACACTGTTTTTTTTTTCTGTGAATATAGCCAAATAGATGCACACACAATCAAAACTTAAATACCTAAACAGATGCAAAACCACATAATCAAATAGGAGTTGTGAGAGAGAGACAGAGAGACAGAGAGGAACAGTACCTGAGAGAGAGACAGAGAGAGCTATATCAGATGAATAGGTGGAAGCTGCGATTGTTGGAAGCTGGGAGCGAATGGGATCTCTGATTTTGCTGGAGGACAGAGAGGGTAGTTAGAAAATCGATTTGGGAGAAAAAAAAAAAGAGATACAGAGAATCAAACCTGCGTGACGGCGGCGATTGAAGAGAGGCTGAGAGAAGAGCTGCAGAGAGGGAGACTGAGAGAGAGGTTTTGGCAGAGGGCAGCTGTGTATGAAGGAACGAAGAAGAAACTAAATGGAAAAGAGGAAAACGAACGAAGACAAAAATACCTAGGTCATTCAGTGTCTTTTTTTTTTTTTTTTTTTTTTATTTATATAATTTCTAATATATATATATATATATATATAATATAAAAAATATATAGAAATTAATTTTTTGGACCAGTTCGGATTGGACCGGTTCCTAATGGTGAAAAACCGAAATCAAAACTGATTTAAACCGGTCTGGTTTGGATTGGACTCGGTTTTTGACTTTTACGATCAACATGGTTTTTTACGGTTTTTTTTGAATTGGTTTGGTTTGGTTTTGCGGTTCTAATGTCCACCCCTATTAAGCAATATAAAAATGAGTAGGGGCATTATTGTCCAAACACTTTAATTTTGTCATTCTTTATAAATACTTCACCCATTTTGGGTTTATTTATAAGTTCCCCTTATGTTTTGCCTTGGATGGTATTTAGTGGTATTTTCCAATTTTTTTTTCCAAGTAATTAAACTTATCTTTACAAAAAAACAATGACAGGGATCAAAGTGAAAAATAAGTCAAAACTATAATATGAAAAATAAAATTCAAGCGTTGTGTTTTCTTTTTTCCTGCTTCCACGATTTGCAGAACTCCGACTTTTCTTTGTATAAAAGATCAAATTCATTCTCATTACTAGCTAGCTTGAAAGGGTTCCAGTCTCAGAATTGAGATCTAAAAGCTGTGTTGAAACTTGAAACTTGTAATGAAGGAAATCACATTGAAATCAAACTCGAAATTGAAAAATTGAGAGAGAGAGCAGAAGAATCAGACTCGGAAGAATCAGAAAATGGCAAGCGACAGCGACCTAGACGAGGACGAGCTCCTCCAGATGGCTCTAAAGGAGCAAGCCCAGCGCGATGTGAATTACAAAAAGCCACCCTCCAGCAACTCCCGCACTGCCCCCGTCGCCAATTACGTTCAGCAGCCGCAGCCTCCTCCGCCCCAGCAGCCACGAAAACCCGCGGCTTCTCCGAGTCCCAAAAACAACACCACTACCAGAAGCAACGCCAACAACCCGAAGCGACGGGTGGTGGACGACGACGAGGAGTCCGATGTGGACATGCTCAGCATCTCCAGCGGCGATGAAGACTCCACCGCCAGGGATCAGCAGCGTGTCCGCTTCCGAGGCGGCGGTGCTGCTTCTGCGGCTACCGCCAGAGCTGGAGCCCTGGACGACGATGCCCCTTGGGACGGCGGTGAGCCTGGCTGCTGGAAGCACGTCAACGAGGCTGAGGTAAATATATACATATATGTCCACATTTTGAAGAATTGAATGCTTGATTTTTCAATATTTGGGTTTGTGTGGCGGTATGGCAGCTTGCTCGTAGGGTTCGTGAAATGCGAGAGACGAGAACAGCACCGGTGGCCCAAAAGGTTGAGCGCAAAGTGTCGTCGGCAGGCTTGGCTCTAAAGGGGCTTAACAATTTACAGTCCTTCCCTCGGGGCATGGAATGTATTGATCCCCTAGGCTTGGGGTTAGCATCTGCTTCTTTCTTCAAATAGTCTATTTTCTTTTCCAAATTTATTTGGGACTTGAGCCTCACTCTTAGTTTCATTTGCATTTGTGTTTTCTGGCAGGATCATAGACAACAAAACCTTAAGATTGATAACTGAATCCTCAGACTATTCGCCAACCAAGGACGACAAATTGGATAATAACCTTCGGGGTAATGTGGCATTTTCTCTTCTGCTTTGCCCCATTATGTTCGTTTTAGTTCTCCTTAAGTGACTTTCTAGTACCACCTTGCACTTTTGCATAACAAGGGCTAATCCTTGACTTGGATAATCTGTAATTTCATCACCACCTAGCAGTTATTAGGGTTTAGGGACATCAGAAAATCTTTCTAGTTTCAGAAGTTTCAAAAGTTTTTGAATGTTATACTTTATCCACCTTGATCTCATAACCTGAATTTGTTTTTTTTTCCTTCATTCACGGTTGTCGCTCATATCTTTTTTATGTTAATATTTGCAGAGAAGTTGTTATATTTCTCTGAGAAATTTGATGCCAAGCTCTTTATATCACGGATTCACCAAGACACTGCTACAGCAGATTTGGAGGCTGGTGCTTTGGCTCTAAAAAGTGATCTTAAAGGACGAACTCTGCAGAGAAAACAATTGGTCAAAGACAATTTTGACTGCTTTGTCTCTTGCAAAACAACAATTGATGGTATACAATCGTCATTACATTGGGCTCTGGGTTTTTTTAGAGCTGCTTCATTTTAGATATGTTTTACATTTCAAAAGTTGGAAATTACAAGAAGCTGTGCCATGTGTGACAACTAGACATAAGCCCTTGTCCGTCACCATCGTGTGCATCTCTTAGCTACATCATGGTCTTGGGAAAACTATCCAGTAGCATCTAGCTGAAAATTATTAGTGCCTGTCATGCACTTCTGGTTGGTTAACCAGTGACGGCATCATAATCCTCATCTATCAAACTAACTATCAATTACCTCCATAACCCCATATTGGATGCTCATACATGCTCGTGCTATTTCTGTCACACCCAGAAATGTTGCATCTTTACAGCTATTTTGTCCATTAACCAACAAGAAATTGATCCCGACCTGCAATCCTCTTAGTCTTATTCTATTGCCTTCTTGAGGAATCTCTCACCACTAGTAGCCCTAGCCATAAACGACTAAACTTGTTCTCGTTCTTTTGCTCCCGTTTAAAGTTCATCTTGTTCATCGGATTGCTTTTCTCCCCTTTTAAGTTCTCCATCTTGTTTAACATGAAAATATTAGACTTTCAGCAAGCATATCTGCAGTCTTTCTTATTTTTTTTCTTCTCTTTTTTAATTTATTCTTTTTCTTCTCATCTGTTCTTTTGCTCCCGTTTAAAGTTCATCTTGTTCATCGGATTGCTTTTCTCCCCTTTTAAGTTCTCCATCTTGTTTAACATGAAAATATTAGACTTTCAGCAAGCATATCTGCAGTCCTCTTTATTTGAGGGATGTAATAGCTTCGGTGATCAAAATACTTATTTGCTCACATACTATGAATTTGTTATCTGGAGCACCCTTGTGGAAAGCACATCAATAAAAGGCAGTTGGTTTACTTTTCTGTTTAATATTCGCTTGTGAGATGTGTTCTGTTAGATGAATAGTCAACTTCTCAATGCCTTTCTTTACTTCTTCCTGTTGTATAAAATTTTAAAAGTTCATTGCAATCATAGCTACTTGTTGGGTGCTTCTTGATTTTGATTCGGAAGATATTGATTCTTGCACAGATATTGAGTCCAAGTTGAAACGGATTGAAGAAGACCCTGAAGGTTCAGGCACTTCTCATTTGTTTAATTGTATGCAAGGAGTGAGTTCGTTGGCTAATCGCGCATTCCAGCCTCTATTTGAGAGACAGGTTGGTCAGGCTTAAATTTTCGATGTGGTTCGAGGTTTATGTCTGTTTATGCAACTGGGATGATATAAGTTTCATCTAGTTTCTGACTGATTGTAGGCTCAAGCTGAGAAGATCAGGTCCGTCCAAGGAATGCTACAGAGGTTCCGGACATTGTTCAACTTGCCCAGTACAATTCGTGGTAGCATAAGCAAGGGAGAATATGACTTGGCAGTTAGGGAGTACAAGAAGGCCAAGTCTATTGCTCTGCCCTCTCATGTATAAAACAATCTGTATTAGTTTTAACTTTCTTTTGCGGTAAAATTGGATAATTTCAAATCACATGAGCTGTATCTACGCATCAACTAATTTGATTCCTTCTAATTGGTTATCATGATTCATTTTAGCTATTTTATGCTTTAATTATGAAATGTATCGCATTTATGTTGTAGTTTTATTGCGTGGATGGTTTAATTGTTGACATCAATTTCAAAGGCAAAGAATTTTGATCCTCGTTCCATTGTCCAGTATATTATGTCTGTATAGAAGGCTGCTAATCTTCTATTTTCTTTTTCTATTATTCAATTGCAGGTGGGGATACTGAAACGTGTTCTCGAAGAGGTTGAGAAAGTGATGCATGAGTTTAAAGGCATGCTTTACAAGTCTATGGAAGATCCACAAATAGATTTAACAAATGTAAGCTCATTATTTAGGTATCGGTAATGTTTTAATCTTTAAAAGGTTCTCACCCTGCCCCCGACATTGTTCCCCGATGATGCCCCTTGGGCAAAAGGGGCCACCATTCTCATTCTTTCTTCAATAATCTTAATAATAATGAAAGTAGCATGCAGTGTTCTGCCGTCAGTTTCTTATTTTGCAGTGGTTAATTCCAAAATACAGGTTCTGACCATATTACCATTTCTCAGGGGTTTATTTCTTTTCTTTTTCTTTCCATGGTCCACTTCAATTAGATAAAAGTAATAAATTTATTGCAAATAAAAAAGTCATTGCCAAATAAAGCACACGTGATGGTTGGGTTAAGGAAGCGGTGATTGAATAAAAATCGCTGTAGGGTTGCTAAGTTGGTTCTTTCTTTTATTTATAGCTGAACATTTTAAGATCTTCTGAATGATGGTGGTTTTTTTTTTTTTGGGTAACCATATTAGTTATAGATCTGGAGTGGAGTCTTTAAGGGTATCCAAGTTCAGAGGGTATCCAAGTTCAGGGTAAAGGATCTCAGTTATGTTTGAGCAATCCTGTTCTTGAGGGCATTAGTAAAACTTAATAGGAGATGCTTTTATGAGTAGTAGTGAGGAAGATTTCATTACATGGTGGGAATAAACCTCATCTCCACCTATGACTTAGTCGAGAGGTTATAGTGTGATTTTGCTAAACAAGATGATGCACTTGCATTAATGTGAGTTCTGGCTTGAGACCGATCATGTCTTGTATTACCAATATATTGATTTCATGTTTGTAGGAAATGGCAATTATTATTGTTTTTTGGTTTAATAGTTTTCTACATTTAATGATTTTATGCTTAATGTAGGTTGAAAACACAGTGAGGCTGTTATTGGAGCTGGAGCCTGAGTCAGATCCGGTTTGGCACTATTTAAATATACAGGTTTGTAAATTCAGAACTCTCCTTGGGATTTACTTATTTTCCTCCTTTTAAATTCCTTGGTAT